CGACCGCGTCTTCCGCGCCGACCTGCCGCTGCCAAGTCCATGGACGATTGCCGTCAAGGCGGCACGTGTCGCTCAACTGCACGTGCACCACAGCCTCGTACAACAGCCCGAGCAGCCTGCTCTTCGTCGTCTTCTCCAGCTCCTCGCCCAACACGAGTGGCCGCGACGTCACCTCGTCCCGCGGATCGCGCTCCTGCCTCCGCCTGCCTAAATCAAGTCCCTCAACCGAGTACACACAACGAAGAAAGTCCGACAATTTTATTTAGCATAGTTTTATCTATTGTAATAGACGACCCACTTCAACAACAACAACGATCCGAGTGGGGCTAGGGTACCGCTGGTACGGCTTGGCGACCAAGGCTTTCTGGTTGCGATCGACGTCGCGCTGAAGCGCAACGTGTAGGCGCCTGCACTGCCTCGAGGTGCGATGTCAAAGACAATGGCCGCGTACATCTTGGGTGGCTCCGATCGTGGCGAAACGAGGTGTCTACACGGAGCTACAAAATGAGACGGCGATCGCAAAGCTGTCTGTACCCAATGCGTCGTATTCGAGCGCTGCCTCGTAAAGGGTAGAGCGCAGTGGTGTCGAGGAAAGCTCGGAAATCGTTTGAGATGCTGGTCAGCGGCACGCGTGGACGGCAAGTACGCCCGTATGAAACGTCGTATCGGGCACAATCGCGAGCTTGCATGGCACGCACTTGGCGGCGCAGGTCGTGCGCGTGCCGTGACGTCGGATCGATGCTGACGGGAGGTGTGGCACACCTTGCTAGGCGTGTCGACGGCGAAATGCCTGGCGACAGCTACATCCAGCGACGGAAATGAGCTAGCGTCACGTCCATGGTGCGTACCTTCGTCGAAGCGGCGAGAGCGCGGCGACGCCATGCAGAGCGCAGCGACTGCCCAAGATACGATCTGGAGCCCGCGGAGCTCGGAGACGGCCTTCTTGGACGGCCACACATCGTCGAGTCGGGCCCAGGCCGTAGCACCACTGGCCGTACGCGGGCGTCGTCGGCTGCACCGAGCGCCTTTGGATCGTCGCGAGCTTGTCGCATGCGGCGCGCCAGCGTCGACTTGCAGGTCCTGTGTCGTAGCCCGTGGCCTCGTCGTGAAGCCGCTTTGTCCGTCGATGTTGGCAGATGGCGCGCATGCCATTGGATGAAATCCTGTCTGCTACGCCACATTTGATTCGCTCCAATATCTCCAGGATCGCGATGCGATTGGCCTAGAACACTATTTTC